CTGCTCACCGAGTCACTGCTCACCGAGTCACTGCTCACAGGTCACTGCTCACCAGGTCACTGCTCACCGAGTCACTGCTCACCAAGTCACTGCTCATCAAGTCACTGCTCATCAAGTCACTGCTCACCAGGTCACTGCTCACTGAGTCACTGCTCACCAGGTCACTGCTCACCGAGTCACTGCTCACAGGTCACTGCTCATCAAGTCACTGCTCACCGAGTCACTGCTCACCAGGTCGCTGCTCACCAAGTCGCTGCTCACCAAGTCACTGCTCACCAGGTCGCTGCTCACCGAGTCGCTGGTCTGTCGTGTGTCAAATAAATGCATTTATTTATCTGATTTGTTTTTTGTCTGCTTTTTAAAGTTGCTCTTGTTGTTTTTCTATTTCTAGTCGTTTATTTTGAGGTTTTCTTGATCTTCCTGCTTTTCTTTGGGGACCAGATGAAAACTGAAGCAGGGATCACATGCTGATCACATCATTTCACTTCATGAGTTTCCAGAGTTCAGTTTGTCACGTTGTCTGTCTGTCGTCATTACAAACCAACAGAACTTCAGTTTCCTCGTGTCTGGAGGATCATGATGATCAGAAAACACGAAAAGCTGCTGCTGTGCATGAATGAGTGAATGAATGAAGTCTCCACATCTGAACTTATCTCCACCTGAATCTGGATCACAGCCGATAGCATGAAGAAGGACGGTTACTGGAGCCGGTTCTGTTCAGTTCACTGGACTTTAACCATCAGTTCTGGTTATGAAACGTGTGAATTGTTGAGGATGTCGTGTGTGTTTGTGTTCCTCGGAGTCAGAGTCTCGTCTTTATCTGGTGTTTGTTGGTTGTAAAGGTCACGGCTGAGCTGAAGTTAATGAACTGCAGCTCTGAACTTTGATGCGAGCGTCTTGGAAACAGATTCCTGTTGAGTCCAAGTTTCCTCGGAGCAACTGATGGACTGCAGCAGCTTTACGTGAATCCATTAATCATCCTGGTTTCACAGAAATGATTGTTGATGACTGATCAGGTCTCCTCTCCTCCACACTCAGTTCAGATTAAACCAACAGATTTCAAACATGTTCAAATGAAGAAGCTGGGATCTGTTGAAGGTGTTTCTGTTTCTGCTGTCGGAGCGACTCGCTGACTCGCTGACTCGCTGACTCGTGGCTGGAAGGCCAGAGGTCACAGCGGTGGATATTTAAAGACACAAACACTCAGAAGCTTTCAGTCTGTGTTTCCTGTTTTCTGTGAGGAGACACATCGACCTATAAACAAACCGACTCTCCCGTTTCACCTTTCATTCTGCTTCAGGGCTTTTATTTGCTGATAAAAGATTTGTCCAATAAAAGAATCCACATCAGGTCAGTTTCATCATCTCTCACCGTGAAGACATGAGCTCAGTGTTTTATCACAAACTCATCAGCGAAGAAACCGTCGAATCTTCATGTTGATTTATTTCTAGTACCAAGTAAACAAAGAATTCATATTATATGCAGTATACACACACACACACACACACACACACATATATGCACATACACTCATATACATACATATCCGTACACATACATACAAAACAAAATCATATAGCAAAAGAAACATTCCACCGTTCTGCACGAGGTCCATGTATTCGAAAATTAGTGACAAGAAGTCAACAAACACTGATTTAATCCCCCTTTCCTTCAATTATTGATTGACCATGTCCAGTTTCCTAAATATATATAAAATATACAATTTCTGTTTATGCATATAAGAGACAATAACAATGTATACAATTATGATACAACCAGTTTATATACACTACCGGTCAAAAGTTTTAGAACACCCTAATTTTTCCAGTTATTTATTGCAGTTCAAGTTATGCAAGTCCAATGAATAGCTTGAAATGGTACAAAGGTAAGGACTGAACAGCCAGAGGTTAAAAAAAAAGGTTTGGTTACACAAAACCGAAAAATAATGTACATTTCAGAATTATACAAAAAGGCCTTTTCCAGGAAACATGAAGTGGGTTAACAATTTAAAGCTGTTCT